CGAAACGTCAGCCTCTCTGCTCCTATGATGCTGCTTGGCCTGCTGTGTTCATCCAGCCCTGCACCTTGTTGTCTAAAATAAATATTTCCTTCTTATTGTTTCCCGCACATTAGCTTCAGGCAGAGATATTCTTCAGGATTCAGCCAGTTAGATCTGTAATAATGCTTCTGAGCTAGTTTTGTTGATGGCCATTGAAGTATCTACCTGAATTACATTCTGTAACCTTGCTACTTCCATGCTTCTTTCAAGTTGCGTTCAACATGGAAGAATACTAATTCATTAACTGAGGTCAGGTGGTAAGTAGCAACTAGTGCAATCTTTTCTTGTTCAACTTTTACCTTGATATAAAATTACAAAGAATCTGGAGTCATGTCGAAGATGTGCAAGGCTACTCACACCTGACCCTATATGACTGCTATGTGCCACCAACTCCAACAGATCTGTCCTGCTGTTGGTGATAAAAGAAGTGTAGAACATTGGTTGTAAGGTATGATTCAGTAAGTATAATTATTTCAGGCTGTTGTTTGACTGAGCTGTGTGACAGCTCTCTCAAATTTCAAAGATACTCATTTTATTTGCTATTAAAGATGCATTGCAAAGCAGCAAGGAAATTAATTGTTAACACTTGCTTGTTTAATCATTTGCTGTGAAATTTATTCAGCAGGCATAGGGTATTAGCTTTAGTTTGAGACATGAAGGCACTAAGGCAGCCAATGAGTTTTGTTTCAAATGCTTTTAATAATGAGAAAAAGTTAAATTATTACATCAGTACTTCTCCGAAAGAATGTTTAATAAATAGGTCACATTTATTTACATATATTTCTCACAATATTTTGTACAATCTTTCAAGGTCCGATGAAACTCAGGACTGGCTGGTTGTCAGAGGTCATTCAGATCTAATGAGTTGGAAGCATTATGGAGTCATACAAGTGAGACTTAGATTAAAAGTGATAGGTCACTAGACTTTAAGTTGACATTTTCGATACATCTGGACTCCAAAATTAAAGATCTCAGAACCTGGAAACATACATTTTCAAGCCTTTGCAAAGCAGTTTTATTTGTATCATAATTTTAATAAAGTGAATATGTGAAATCATAGCTAACTGAACATAAGGGATTTCTTCGTAGACGAAGGTGATGAACCCATCATTGATATCCATAGGCAGATAATTCTACTGCAGGAAATATCAGATAATTTGACTCACATGTGTCTCATGTTTCATGGAGTGTGATTCATACGCTGCTGAATTAATCTACACATTTAAAAAAATCATTGAAGTTAAGAATTGTCATCTCTTCATATAGCAAGTGCATTCTGCTGTTTTCATCTCATTTGTATTCAACACCAGGGTTGCATATTGACGATTTGAATGGAAATATTTTGACCATTACCGAAATGGTTATCGGATCAATTTCCAAACATTGCTGGCAAAGAAATGGAAGCAGTTCCAAGGATTTTCCTGACCTTTGTTTCCTAATCTATGTGGTCTTTTCCCAATTATCAGTATTTTGTTCATTGTTTTCTTAATGTATCCAAATCAGTCTGTATCTCTGTTATTTTAAGCTTCCAAATTTAATTTATTCCCAACAAATTCAGCTCCTTGTTGCTACTGAAGGTAAAATGTAAAAATTGGCTGTACCAGCCATGCCAAGACTGAGGATCATTTCAGAAAAACTGCATATCACTAGTTGGTTAATGATCAATTGCATAACATGTGGGATGAATTTTTGTGTCTTGGACAGGAACCAGATGTGGGGCCAGTTTCATGCCCTGACCCCAAAAACTGTTTGTTCCAGGCACGCCTTTCTTTATTTTTAAAGGTATTTCACAACCAGGGAGTGTGCTCACCATCCCAATAGGAATGATAGGTGGGCTCCTGAGGCTGGAGGATTGTAGTTGTGCCCCTGTGACTAATACAGATGTACATGTGGATCCCTTTCAGGTTTAAGTACAACCCTTCCTTCCCCTGGCCTAAGGCTGGCACATCGATCTGAGCATGTTCCGGGACAATGTGGGTTGTTGCATGCCAACTGGAAATGTTAATAGGCCCCGTAATTACTTTAGAACATAAAGCAAAATGCCAAAGGTGTTGAAAATCTGAAATAAAAACAGAAAATTCTGGAAATAATCAGCAGGACAGAGAGCAGCTATAGACAGAGAAACAGATTTACTATTTTAAGTCAATGATGAACCTTCATTATCAACCTGAAATGTTAACTCAGTCTTCCACACAGCTGTTGTCTGACCTACTGAGAATTTACTACATTTTCTGCTTTCTCTACTTAATTACATTATTTTGATCTTGTATGGAGGTAATAGTGTCAGGAGCTGTTCATGCCTCCAACTTCTCTGAAAATGGAATTGTGGTGTCAGCAATACTAAATTACATTTAATTGGAACCCAAGCACACATCCCCAGGCAACTGAAAATGCAACCTCGAGGGTTCTACACAGTGCTGTCTGTAAGACAGGCTTTGTGATTTACAGTCTGGCAACTGACTCTATTAAACCCTTTAACCTGATTGAATTACAAAGTCACTCACACTCCATAATAGCCATTTATGACTGCAAATGTTGAGCTGTGACATTCTGAATGAAAACTTGTATCTATATTTTGATATCTTTAAAAAGCAGACAAAATATCAGTAACACAATCTTACATCTTGGAAATTATATAAATCAGAGCATTGTTATCTGAATAATTTGATTATACTATGGACTTTTAAAACAAATGGCATCCATTACTATCTAATGTGAACTCCCAACTTCAGGTCACATGAAGAGTACTTTGCAACTTTGATATTGCTAAAGGAGAATGTCATGTGCGTTTATTGATACTACAAACATATGTAGTGCCAGTGGATAATGTTTTTAATTCACAGAATTAAAGTCCAGCACCAGTTCAGTAAGATCATTACCTAACATGAGTAAATTTGAAGAGTCCAGTCAGAACCAAAGTGGGAATGAGACAATGGCAATCAACTAACCAGCATGAGGAGTTGCCTATTTCTTTCCAATTGTTTGTGAATGGACTCCTCTAAATGCTATCAGCTCGAAACTGTCCCTACAGAATCTAATGATGCCTTTCTAAACTCTTTCTTATCCTTCCAAAATTAGTCAATGAAATGTCATCCAGGTAAGATTGATTTTGCTAGGATTTTACTTCCTCAGTGTTAGAATATGATCATTTCATTCATGGTGGTCAAATTGTGCCTTCTGTTTTCATAGAATAAGTAGCAAGAAAAGTCAAGTGATATTTTAATGTAATATCTGTAAGTTCACAGGATAAAGGAAAGTAGTCAGATGCCACTATATCAAATATGTTTCCCCTTAGTTAACGACAGTTGTTTTCTGCACACCAGTAGCTTGTTGTTGAGGTGCAAATACAATGGTAGCGTAGTATGAATCATCAGAGGCAATTGAAGATGCTAGAGTCTGTCGAATATTTTGTCCGGGGACATCTAGTGCAGCATAGTCAGGACAGAACACTGTAGAAATTGGATCCTCTGCTTTCTAAAATTAATTGAAAGAAAATGAATGTGAATAAGACTCATCTTTGATTTGTGCATTGTAAAGGTTTTCTTGAAGTAGAATCCTAAAGTGATTTTAGGCTTGTATTGAGCCAAATTGAAACAATCTCTGCAGCCTGATTCCAGAATGCGGTAATGTTAAACCCTTAGAGATTCTGTCACACCATTTAGATCTAGTCAACTGGTGTTTCATAACATTAACATGAGCATTAGGTAAAAAACATTGAACAATGAGGTAGTCCCTGGCAACTCTTTCATTTCTTCATTTACTTGCCTAGATGGTAGGCTTGCATAAAATCTCAAGTCAAAATTGAACTTCGGCCAGATTGTTAAAATGTAGTCCTAAGGTCAGCATAATTGAATTATTTGAGATGAATTCCAGGCATTATATTTGTCACAGGTTGGTTAGCTACCACACTTTTACTCACCAGAAGCTGGACCCAGGCATTTCTGAACTCCAGGAACATTAATAAGAAATATTTGGAGGGATATGGGCCAAGCGCAGACAGGTGGGACTAGTTTAGTTTGGGATTATGGTCAGCATGGACTGGTTCGACTGGAGGGTCTGTTTCCATCCTACTTGAGTCTATGACTCTAAGACGCTAAGCCATTATTACATATTGGAAGCTCTCTTTTTAGATGGGAATGGACCTAGAATGCAGCTGTATGATTAAAAGGTTTGCAGTAGCTTAAAGTTGAAACCAATTAGAAACAAGAGCAGAAAGGACTTGGAACGTTATGTTTTGCTATGTCTTCCGGAAAGCAGATAGCCTCCAGGTTCATCTGTGTCGATATGGAAGTGCTGCTGAATTAAGTCAGGGAAAGGGGGAAACACATTAGTTCAGAACCCTTTGCAGAGTTGATCAATCACAGTGGAAGGAGATGTCAAGATCTGTTACCCCACATATATCAACTTAGCTCCAGCAAATATCGAATTTTTGTATCAGTCTAGAAAAAGGTAAGAAGACCTAGCCACATCTACCAATAAAACAAAGTATTAAGTTAGGTTTTCTACATGTAATTTCCTAAAGCACTTGAACTGTTTGCCAATAAAAGATATTTACAGATGAGGAAGGCTATGCAGTTCACCTGTATTTTTGCAGCCAGGAAAATCTTAACATCCCAAATTGCTTAACTCAAATGTTTCTTCAATTATCCTAGGACTAACACCTCTTCCATATTCTTTGTTCCACATATTGATCACTTTTCAAGTGAAGAATATGCTGAGAAGAGGTATCGGAATTAAATGTAAGTAAGCAAATAAAATCAATATGTGCTGCTCTGAAAGTAGTTTGTTCAGAGATTTGATGCCCATATTTGATTTTAAGAAATGGCTTTTTTGATTTGATTATTTTGCCTTTCTTCTAAAATCTTCATAAACCTCAGTAACAAGTAGAAATGGTACTCAGAATGCGATACAATATATATCAGCCAAATGTGCTGACCATGAGAATCCTTACACTAATCTAAATCAGTGTTGTTCAGTAGTTCAACTGGCATTGCTAAAGCAATATTTTTCCTGTCAATATTTTTCCAAGAGAGTCCATGCAATTGTTGAGAATCAAATAGTCTTTTATTCTCTTGATTATCTGTGACACTAGAAATAAATTGTTTAAAATGGGACTCACTGAAGAAATGCAGCCAATTGCACAAGGTAACCTTGAAACCAGATAATGATCAAATAACTTATTTGTGATGCTGATTGAAGGATGACTATTGGCAGGACACTGAGTCAATGTTTCTGCTTTTCATTGTCTTAGTGTCAAAGGGGTGCACCTCCCATGGTGCAGGGTTATCGACCAAAATTTTATGGTCAAGTTTTAGGAGGGTGACATGAAACCACATAGTTCTGACTCAGACATCTTGTTTCTCTCTTTCTCTATCTTTCTCTGATATGAGAGTGATACAGATTATGTAATCACAGCCACAATCCCACAATGTTATATGTGTCTATTTCTTAGTTTAACATTGTTCTGTTGACTTATTCAGTTCAGGGTCAATGTAAAATAGGATGGCAGATCCACCTCTACACCTCACATTTACATTTTGTGGCTGATGGGGATCATGTGATTTCCTGGAATAGAAGTGGATCACATGAATACCTGTGCAGTGACATTTCAGTAGATGTTCACTGCACAGATTATCATTGCTTTGGCTGAATAAATTGACGAAAGCAACAAAGGATCTGAGCTTATGAAATGAAATCAGCAAACAGTTTATTATGTGTTGATAACCTCAAGTACAATTACCTGGCAACTGACATTTGCTGGAGGAGGATTGGCATTAGGACCTAGAAGAAGAAAAAAAATGTGTAAAACGCATATTTATAAGCTAGTATGATATATTTGTAAGTGAATTGGATGAGAAAAGCACCATCTGCTCCAACTGAAACCTTTGCACAATGTGACACCATTTTAGAAATCACCTCTTAAAATGTGAAAAATGAAGCCCCTGAGCACGCATAAAACTGTAACATTTTTTCTATCTGATGTCTGTAAGTTCAGCAGGTAGTCACCAGTACTACAAATATATTATTACCACATTTGTCACAGGTTGGTTAGCTACCACACTTTTACTCACCAGAAGCTGGACCCAGGAAGTTCTGAACATGTTATTTGCAGTATCAACCACAGCTTTCAGAAAAAAATGGAATAAAGGGATTGCAGATAGTGTCAAAGTCAGCTTTTTTGGTAATAGAATAAACACTGTTAGAGGCTTATATCTTTAAAATGAAGGTATAAACTGACTGAAGTAGAACCACAAGGCAAGTTAATATTGAGTTCTTTAACAGCTAAATTATTCTGTTGCATCCTGTGCAATTTTGAATCTCACTTCAGTAATGATAAACAACTTGCCTCTGAATTTTCTGGGTAGTTTTCAGAATATCATAATTCTAATAGCTCATTAGGCTAAAACATACACTAATGCCAGATCGTTGATGGTAGAATTATTCCAAAGTGATGTGCTTTGTATATTCACAAGTTTTTATATGTGTTGTTAGTTTAGACTGTATATGAATGTCTGGGGAAGGTCAGCAGTGATGGACAATTCAATCTCCACCAAACAGATGGAAAGCCATAAATTTCTGCATCTATCCCATTTTTAAAAAGATGTTAGTTTAAATTTCTCAATCAGTGATTTTCTACAGTGACGCATCAGAACAGGAGACCATTACAAAAGATACTTGAGTAAACGCACAACTTGTCTTTTGACTTTAAAATGAAATGAGCCAATGTAGGTGCAAAGCTTATAAAAAATTTCTGCCCTTGTGCTTTTGCAGAAGTTCAAGGAACAGGACAAAGTTATCCAGCAAGGCAGAAGGGAACATCACAATATGCTCAGAAATTAAAAACCGAAAGAACTGCAGATGCTGTAAATCAGGAACAAAAACAGAATTTCCTGGAAGCACGCAGGTCTGGCAGCATCTGTGAAGAAAAAGTCAGAGTTAACATTCCGGGGTCAGATGAACCTTCCTCAGAATTGGGTCACCAGACCCGAAATGTTCACTCTGATTTTTTCTTCACAGATTCTGCCAGACCTGCTGAGCTTCCAGCAACTTCTGCTTAGAAATTATATTTGACATCTAAGATTAGGTCCATGTACCTATGTTAAAATAATTGTGGGACAGGAAGAACAGCAGATAGTTAATTCCTACATGTATTAATGTTTTTCCTGAAAGTAAATATCTGTGTTTAACTTGGCTGACCAGTCATGCTGTTTACTTATGGTGAAGTAACTTCTAACAGGATCTAAGGAAATCTTCAACATTCATTGCTGCTCCTGATTTTAAAGGAGTGCCATCTGTATTAAATGTCAAGCTTGGAACTAGGGGAATCAACCACTGAAGTTCTATAATAAAATGTACACAAAAACATATGGCATTGTGCATAGTACACATCAACCTTGAAACACAGCCTAATTGTAACTAACTGTGGTAGCAAATCATATATCACTACTTTTGTTTTTAATAGGTTATTCATATCATTAATGAGTAATCCAGATGTTGGACTGTTAGTCTAAAGATTTTGAGTTCAAGTCCCATGATGATATTTTGAGAATTTGGAAGACTATCTGGAAATAGAAAAGCTGGTAGCTGTAAAACAGTGAATGCAGACACTGCCCTCACTCACCTTTGGCGTGAGGAGCCTGATCCATTGGGTGGGTGCAATACTGGCAGCTGCCAATGCTCCCGATGGTGCTGACAACATTGAGGTGCTGCCTTACACCGATTGGTAGACTTTCATCCCTCGGAAGGCCAATGGATGACCATTTAATGCCTGACAGGCTTTTCATTCATGTCAGATCTCTACCATGGAACTGAGGGAGATGCTCACTGGCTCTCCAGCTATTGCTTGAGAACTTGCTTGGTAAAGCTATTGGAATATCATAAAAACAAATGCGATTAATTAAAGCATAAATTGTTGGAAAAGCTCAGCAGGCCTGGCAGTATCTGTGGACAGAAAGCAAGAGTTATTATTTCGGGTCCACTTACCCTTCTTCAGAACTGGACTGAACTAGTCACTAGACCTGAAACTTTAATTCTGTCTTCTCTCGACAGATGCTGCAAGACCTGCTCAGCTTTCCTAGCAATCTCTGTTTTGGTTTCTGATTGCCAGTATCTGCAGTTTTTTGGGTTATTTTTGAGATGAATTAATGTCCTTTGTAGAAAGAAACTTGCCATTCTTGCCCAGTCTGGCAATATGTGACTGCGGTCCTAAGTCAATCAATTGTGAGGTGTCTCACAATGCAACTAGAGATGGGCAATGAATGCTAGATTTGCTGGAATTGTCCACTCTGAGAATAAATGATGAAAAGAGGAGGTATTATATCCAAGCTTCAAAATAGCTGCCATCCTCTTACATTGTCATACATTTGTTTGGGTTTGGGTTTGATCCAGAAGAGATTTTAATTTCCTGATTTTCATTGTCGAGCTAGTGATGCTTATTCTAGTCATCTTAATAATATTATTGTTCATTTAAAAATAATCCCTTTGTTTGCTCTCTTCCTTTCTATCATTCTAAGTGATAGTTTCCTGGATGGGAAGAATGACCCTGTTCAAGGTTTTTGCCAATCTCAGTCCATAACCATCTGCTGGAAGAGTGACCAAGTTGCCTTCTTCCTTAATTTTTATCCAGCTCACAGGAAAGAACCTAGCTTTAATGTTTTGTATTTTTTTTTCCTCTAAGAGTCTTCTTCTTTCCGAAATCTTGGAACTTTACCTCTAAGAGTAAGACTTATGCTCAGAAAATTTCCAAATGTAGTTTTGTTGATGCAAAGCCACAACAGATCAGCCATTGTACAATAGACTGGCACATCAGTGCTGCATCTCATCCAGATCAAACCATGTCCACACATCTGCATGAGCTCAATTTCTCTTTTACCACTTACCTCGAGTGGGATTTCCATCATATTTAGTTTGTGATCTTTGTCCCTGTGCATATAATTTATGAAAATTCTAGACGATAGATAAATGCAGATGGCTTAAAATAGATAAGCCCCGTGTGCTTGGAAAGTGGAAGCTTAGATCTACGTGACTGTGTAACGTCTGACAAATGTGCTTCAAAGCATTGACTGTATTATCTGCTTGAAGTACAGAATTGGTTACACATAAAAAAGATCTTCTGAGACTTACCTTGTTTTTTTGGTCGGTATCTGAATAAAATGTAAATTAGCAGGCAGATGATGACAAAGGCAGCTATTACCGCTGAAACAATTATTTGAATTCTAGCTTCCTTATCTTGGAATTCTTCTGCCTCATTTCTGTCTGTGTTGTTTCTGTTTGGTGGATCAATCCACTGTTCGTCTAAAAATGAACAAAACTTCATTTATGAACAATAGGAAATCTCAATAGTCATGCACTGTCAGAACAATATTTTACAAAAAATAACTGTTGCCTAAATTTTAAAACAATATTTTTGCCTGTAATTGAAATCAGACTTATTAAAAATGTAGCGAACATAGAGAATGCTGGTTTGGCAGCATCTGTGTAAACAGAAACCGAGCTAACGCTCTGAAGAAGAGCCATACTGGACTTGATTAGTTAACTCTATTTCTCTCTTCACAAATTGCACCAGACTTGCTGAATTTTTTTCAGCAGACTCTGTGTTTGTTTCAAATTTCCTGCATCCATAGTATTTTGCTTTTATTATTAAACTGCAATATTTGTAATGCCCAGATAGATAATTAATTAATGTCAAGGCTATATAATTTACCATAGCTTTAGCAGTAGCTTACATCTCATTAATAATTGTAACATTATACCAGTAGGGAAATCAAATAGCAGTAAAGATACTCCTAGCCATTTCTCTGAAACATCTTGTGGTCAGATTTGGAGTAATGTATCTGGAGAGTTCTTTACAAATCAAAGATCCGCTTTCTTAGCAAAGAAGTGACCTAAGACATTGCAAGTTTCTCAAGGATGTGTGTGTGTGTGTGTGTGTCAGGAGAAGAGAGAGTGAGCAGGGTGGAGGGGATAAAATAATTCGAAGAAGGGTGATATAGATGTTAAAAGAAATTACAGATTTACAGGCGGTGAATTTTATTCACAACAGTGACAGACAAATGTTCTGAAGGATATCTTGATGTCAAACTGGCCTCTGTATTCTTCAGTAATTGCCTGAGGATCTGGTTACTACAAATTATCTGGGTTTAATTCCCTCCAAGGGCTGTCTTTTGTGCATTTGTGAATATAATCATATAAATTCGTGTCTGTGTTATTTACTTTGCTTATTTGAATGGGATTCTGCTGGTGATAAAATAGTCTAATATGATTTTATGAAAATGAATTAACAGATGCACTAAAAATAGCACTCAGAGGAATTTCTGCATCAACATCTGCCTACTTTTACTGGTAATTTAATAATTTGCAAATTATTATTGATGAAGCAGTAATGGTGCTGATGGAATTAAAAGTAAAATGGATTACTGTAAAGTCTGGAAAGCTTAATAGCTTCCGCCATCTGCAATCCGACCCCACCACCAAAGACATCTTTCTCTCCCCACCCTTATCTGCTTTCCGGAGGGACAACTCTCTCCGTGACTCCCTTGTCTGCTCCACACTCCCCTCCAGCTCCACCACACCCGGCACTTTTCCCTGCAACCGCAGGAAGTGCTACACTTGCCCCCATACCTCCTCCCTCGCCCCCATACCTCCTCCCTCACCCCCATCCTAGGCCCCAAGAAGACTTTCCACATCAAGCAGATGTTCACCTGCACATCTGCCAATGTGGTATACTGCATCTGCTGTACCCGGTGTGGCTTTCTCTACATCGGGGAAACCAAGCGGAGACTCGGGGACCGCTTTGCAGAACACCTACGTTCGGTTCGCAATAAACAACTGGACCTCCCAGTCGCGAACCATTTCAACTCCCCCTCCCATTCCTCAGACGACATGTCCATCCTGGGCCTCCTGCAGTGCCACAACGATGCCACCCGAAGGTTGCAGGAACAGCAACTCATATTCCGCTTGGGAACCCTGCAGCCCAATGGTATCAATGTGGATTTCACAAGTTTCAAAATCTCCCCTCCCCCTACCGCATCCCAAAACCAGTCCAGCTCGTCCCTGCCTCCCTAACCTGTTCTTCCTCCCACCTATCCCTTCCTCCCACCTCAAGCCGCACCTCCATCTCCTACCGACCAACCTCATCCCGCCCCCTTGACCTGTCCGTCCTCCCTGGACTGACCTATCCCCTTCCTAACTCCCTACCTACACTCACCTTTACTGGCTCCATCCCCGCCTCTTCGACCTGTTTGTTTCCTCTCCACCTATCCTCTCCTCTATCCCTCTTCTATCCACCTCCCA